CTTAGGTTTCCAGCATATTGACCCTTAGGCTCTTTTAGGTTGGCCCTTAGGCGCTTTTTTAGGCTGGCCCTTAGGCGCTTTTTTATGCTGGCCCTTAGGCTCTTACGCATTGGCCCTTAGGCACTTTTAGATAGGGTCGAATGCGACCTATGATATGGCTATAGTTTTCCCCGTTTTGGCTGAAGACTTTGAAGTTTTGATTCTGCCTTGGCATGTTTTGTGTTTGTCCGACTCTTCGACGGCTCAAATAAAAACCTCGATTATGAGTCGATATATGACGATAAATGAGTACCTCGGGAGGTTCTCTTGAAGGCTGATTTTTCGAAGCCTTTTTGCTGAAGGCTGATTATCTCGAAGCCTCGTTATTGTTTGGAGTTGATATGATCGAAGCTCTTTTGCTTATGCCGGTGGTAGCCTGATTAACCGGTTCTTTTCAAAGTATTTAGAGGCCTTTAATTTTGTGGCAGCAGTCGGATGTCTCCGAGCCACGTTAATTTGGCCGGAGCCTTTTGATATGACCGTAGTCTTTCTGTTCGGCCGTAGCCTTTAGTCCCTGGGTGAGATGACCTCGGCACCTATATTGAGGGTATGCCTTTTTAGGGATCTTACAAGTTCGATATATAGCCTTGGTCTTAATATCGGGGTTATGCCTTTTGAAGGTCTTATAAGTTTTGGCATGCCTTGTTGAGGTTTTACAGATTTTGTATTTCCTCACTGAGGGCTGACAAGCTCGAGGTTGCCTTATTGAGGTCTTACTAATTCGAGTTTTTGATGGCTTCGACGAGCTGACTGTCAAAGACAGTCCCCGAGTGTTCGAGGATTTTTGGCCCTTAAGCAGTTTTTGCGCGAAAGTAGTGAACTTCTTCGAGTGTTTTGATAAGCAAAGAGGCTTACTCAATTATTTGATATATGTCTACATGTTTTTTGCTTTTGGAGGCTCGATTATTCTATATAGACACGGTTCATTTGACCGTTTGGCCCAATACAGCATTCCCTTGTCGAGATGCTCCTAGGCATAGTTCGATTTCATTGAAGAGGAAACCTCCCGGGGCGATGCCTCCCAGTATTAGGGGTTGATCGAAGAGAAGCCTCGAATACTTGATGGGTTCTCCTTAGGTAGCATATGGATGTTGCCTCGTTAAAAACCTCGCCGGTAAAACCCATTTGGGATGAAACCCGGTCTAAGGGAAAAAGAGTGCAACGCATGCTTTAAAACCTAAGGTCTTCGAGTTGGAGGGTGCTTCGATTCCTCTTACTTGAATACCTGCAATAGGTTAGTATAAAACTTAAGTGAAAAAGGAGAAGGTTGTACCTTAGTATTGATAGTGTTAGAGCCTTGATCCGTTCTACTTGCTTGCTCCGAGGACGCGACACGGTCCTTTATTGACTCTTGTCTTTTGGCTTCTTCGATGTGGGGGGTATTGATGTCGGTGCTACGTCGTGCACCGCAAACATCTCTCTTGATGCGTGCTGCTCCCCGTGCACTGCTTTTACTCCGTCCTTGGTCGAAAACATTATCATTTGGTGAAGGGTTGATGGTACTGCCCTCATACTGTGTATCCACGGCCTTCCAAGCAAGGCATTGTATCTCATGTCACCTTCGATTACATGAAACTTGTTATCTTAGATTGTACCGGCCATACTAATCGGGAGGATGACCTCTCCTTTTGTTGCCTCGCTTGCTATATTAAATCCGTTGAGGACTCAGGAGGCGGGTATGATCTTGTCGAGCAGCTCGAGCTGCTCCACCACCCTCGACCTGATTATATTGGCCGAGCTACCTAGATCCACTAGCATACATTTTATTTGAAATTTATTCAAAAGAAAATAAATTATCGGTGCGTTATTATGAGGTTGAGACAAGGTCCCGATATCCTATTCGGTGAATGTGAGAGCATCCTCTGCTATGTAACTCCGAGTTCGCTTTTACCTGGTGATGGATATTTTTGTCCGCTTGATAATGGGTCCTTATGGGGCGTCGACCCCTCCAACGATCATATGGATGACGTGTTGTGGTTTTTCTAGTTCATTCTTTCCATTTGCCTCTCTTTCCCGAAAGTGGTTCTTGGCTCAATTGCTGAGGAATTCTTGAAGGTGCCCTTCGTTGATTAGTCGAGCCACCTCCTCTCTGAGCTGCCTGCAATCCTCAGTCCTATGACTGTGGATGCCATGGTACTCGCACATCAGGTTGGGGCTCCTTTGGGAAGAATCTGACTGTGCGGGCTTTGGCCATCTGGTATCTCTGATTCTATCCATGGTCGATACGATGCCTGAGACCTCAATGTTGAAGTTGTATTCTGACAATCGGGGTACCTCCATTGGCCTCGAATGCCTGTCGAACCCGGTCTTGCTCGTGCGGGACTTTTTGCCTTGATCCACTCCTCGATCATTTTGAGGTACATTTTGCCTCAATGTATCTCTTTGATCTTTGAAGTATGGCTGATACCTTTCTTTGCCTGATTTCGATTCTTTTTCTGTAATCCGTTATTTCTTTGTTAGGAGCCTGCTAGGGTATACTGAGATAGAGGGGGCTCCCAGTTGGTTGTCCTCGACTCTGATCTTTGATTGATATCTGTTATGCACGTCTTCCCATGTCACAGCAGGATACTCAACCAAGTTCTGCTTTAGCTGTTTCGAGGCTATCGAGCTTTGCTCGTTCAATCCATGAGTGAAAGTCTGTACTGCCCAGTCGTTGGAGACCGGTGGCAATTCCATTCGCTCTATTTGGAAACGGGATACAAATTCCCTCAGCATCTCGTTCACCCTTTGTTTAATCTTGAAGACTTCGGACTTCCTTGTAGCAACCTTGATGGCACCGGCGTGCGCCTTCACAAAGAAATCTGCCAACATGGCAAACGAATCCATCGAGTTCGGGGATAGGTTGTGATACCATATCACGGCCCCCTTCGATAGCGTTTCTCCAAATTTTTTCAGCAAGACAGATCCGATCTCGTCATCTTTTAAGCCATTCCCCTTTACAGCACAAGTGTAAGCGGTAATGTGCTCATTGGGGTGCACCTGGGATCTGATCAACCCTCGAGTTATAAGTCTCCACCTTTTTATCATTAGCATCTATCTTCTTTTACCCTGATTCAATCCTTTTGGTGAGGTCCTCGAGCATCTTCATAATAGTGGGGTCCGTTGCCGACCCGTTGTTACTTGATCTCTCCGGTGCCTTCTCAACTCGAGGGGCCGTTTTCGGCGCTGCCGTGCTTGGAGTTTTTTGTTAACTTTGCAGCTGAGCAATAGCCGCTTGTTGTGCTTTCAGCATTTCAAAAATGACTTGGAGGTTGACTCCTCCTTCTTCCATCCCTCGTGCTTCTTGGCCTCCATCCTGGGCTTCCTTGTGTCTATTCCGTACGGGGTATGTGCCTGCTTCCGTGTTAAGGACATTGTGGGAGCTGATATCAACTAGCTCCACGTTTGGTACTCCCTCAGGGTTTACAGGTGGTACACCCACCCCTACGCTGCTATTTTCTCCAAGTCTTTCACTGTCGTGAAGAGGTGCATTTTGCGTGCTAGACATGATTGAGCCAGAAATCAAAGAATCTTTGACAAGAAAAAGTGTGAAGAGTAACGTGTGTTGTAAGAAAACTAGCACCAAAACAATCACTATTATTTTTAGCTCCACGGTGGGCGCCAAACTGTTTACCTTAAAAATGGTAATTACAATTATATTTGATATTGTAGTTCTAAAAATTCGTGATTTATTTCTATATTAGTTGTTAGGTGATAGATGCTAAGTGTTTGTGAAGAAAATAAGAAATGCAAACCAATAGGGTCACAAGGCTGGGCCTCGAGTTGGCTGGAGAAGGCCTCGAGGTCTAAACGGGGCTAATAGCAATGAACAATTGGTGGTGAATCAACGATAATGGGGGCCTCAAAGATGACCTTTTGCGGTCAATAATGAGCAATAAATGAAGAATAATAAATGAACAATGAAAGAATAAGCAATAAATTTGAAGAATAGTTGTGTTAGCAAAGAGCAGAGAATGTTGTATTGTATTAAATATGTTGTGTAATAATGCAAATCCCTTACAAAATGACAAATGTCTCCTTTATATAGGGGGGTATCCCCACATAGTACATGACTAATAATAACGAGAAAATGCTATTGGTACAGCTGTAAAACAACTTAGTACGGATTTGTACTATTCTTGCAGACCTAGTCAGCTCTAAACATGTATATTTGGGAGCTTTCCCGCCTTTCCATGAGGATCATCGATTATACTGCCCCGAGATCGACCATAGTGGGCCTTCGACGTACCCTGCCGAGGTGAGTGCTTTGGGGATGGGCCTTGAACCGAGCTTTGATTCCATTGAGGCCGGACTTGAACTGCCGCAGAAGCCTCAAATCGGTCTTCCCTGATTTTGACCGTATACATTTTTCTAATTATTTTTTGGGTTGTTTACACCAGCAGGCCACTTTTCCGGCCTTGTATTTAGAATTCAATAAGACATGTGGTTTGACTATTAATTTTGAATTTTAACTTCAAATTAGGTGGTCATTTCGAAACCTCATATCACTAATCTAACTTTGGAAAAGTGATCAACTTCTAAATACCCACAAAAGTGGCTATTTATGTAAATCAGCCTTACTCCCTCCGTTCCTTTTACTTCTCATATTTGGCTTTTGCACACCCATTAAAATAATGTGACTAAATCGTGCTTATTTATTTATTTATCTCAGTTTATTACTATTCTTATTTTCACTATATTAATCTCTCTGTACATTTTTTTAGAGCAAAGATAAAGGTGGAGATAGTTAATTATTTTTCCTTGATTTTTTAATATAAGTAAATACTTTTTGAAACAACTATTTTAGTAAACATGACAACTATTCTAGCTAGCTCTTCGGGCTTTGAGTTTTTTTTTCAAAGAACTACTAGCACTTACGCAACGATTGGTAAAACCTTTTATTATTGGAGTAATTTTTTTTTCCTTCTGCTAAGAATTCAAAGGTTAGTAAACACAAAATACGAAAAGCATGTTCCAGAAAGAGTGCACACGAAAATCCTCCTTTGGAATCTATTTTCACTATGTCCAACAAGCACAATACATGTTATTGTTGTCTTAGAGGAACAAAAACTTTTCCTTTTCCTAAGGTAGCCTCAATTTAGAAATTGTACAAAATGAGAGCTAACTTTCAAGGAATGGGATGAATGACAACTTTTCCAGCAGCTCTGCCAGTTTCAAGATAAGAGAAAGCTTCCACAACCTTATCAAATGGGAATGGTCCTTTTGGATCAATTACTGGTTTCACCTTCCCACTCTCTAAGTATGGGTTCAGTTTCTTCAACATCTCTCCATTTGATGTCACTACAAATCTAAAACCGGGTGGAGTTACTGCCCCTGTTAGCACTGCTACACTTCCACCTTCTTTCACTGCCTTCACCGCCTTTTCGCCCTGACCTGTAGTTTTAAATGAAAAGTTGGCTGTCAACGACCTTTACCGTTATAGTGGTTAAAGTTCAATTTAATGTAGTGCGTAAAGTTCAATTATTTTAATGTGAGGAGAAACATATAATTTTGTGACTTGTTATTATAGTGGATAAAGTTTAGTGATGGTACGTGCAATTAACTCGAGTGTCGAGCATGTCTTGGTGTTCCTCGTATCCTTTAAATTTGGATATGCATTTTGTCCTGCCAGTGTCTATACTAGATTGGATATTGTATAAGTTGCAACAGAGTTCTTACCAACTGTATCATAAACCACATCAAACTTTTCAGGCAGATCTTCAAAATTATCCTTGGTGTAGTCAATAGCTAAATCAGCTCCTAAGCTTTTCAAGAGTTCCAACTTCCCTGTGCTGGAGGTAGCTGCTACTTTTGAAGCACCAAATACATGTTTAGCGATCTAATCACAGAAAATGTGATAATTCAGCTTCCATTTTTAGCAGGCAGACACATGAAAATGCACATTACACTATCATCGATATCTAGCATTGTACAGTAAATATGGGGAGGGTAGTGTGTACGCAGACCTTTATCCCTACCCTAAGGTAGAGAGGCTGTTTCCAATAGAAACTCGGCATCCTTCCAGAACTCCCCACCTTGCTTTAGGGGTGACTCGAACTCACAACCTCTTGGTTGGAAGTGGAGGGTGCTTACCATCACATCAGAGCAACCCACCTTGTCTAGAACTAACTCCTTTTCTAGAACTGAATTAATACATTCAAATGATTTAACTAAATTTTCATACCTGGATTACAAGGGATCCAACACCACCAGCACCTCCCAAAACAAGAATAGATTTGCCAGCAGAGAATCCAGCTTTCTCAAGACCTTCATAAGCAGTTTCAATAGCTAGGGGAAGACTAGCAGCCTCTGCAAAACTCAGATTCTTGGGTTTCAAAGCAACTAGTTTCTCCTCTACAGCAGTGAACTCAGCTAAAGATCCAAATTGCTTTGGTCCATCTAATGCTTTCTCATGTATATCTCCATACACTTCATCCCCTACTTTTACCCCCTTTACTTCACTGCCAACTTTCACTACCACACCAGCAACATCATAACCTGGCACAGTCTACACAAAAATAAACACATATTTTACAACTATTAGAACCACACAATAGAAAATATTTTGCAATTTTGTCATATGTTACTGTTGAATTATTTGACCATCTCATCTACAAATTTAAACTATTACATAGGGTATACTTTGGTTTACTTAATTATAACTTCAAAATGCCTACTCACGTGCGTTTGATCTTTTTTTCATGGGCCAAACACATAATTTTTTTCTTCTACATAATAGATGATGGAGAGATTTGGACCCAGGATCTGTGCTTGCTCTGATACAACGTTAAATTGCATGACAATCATGGCATCATATAAATTAGAGATAATAATTTTATTTAATTAATTATATCTTCAAAGCCTCCAATGATTTCTAACGCAAAATTTAAGTCACAGAAATCTAGACACTAGTAGTGAACCTCTACTCATGAAGTAAAATGTACATAGAAAAATAGTTGAATTTGCAAAAACACTATGAGACAAGTGATGAGAAATGCAAATTTACAAGTTAAACATGGAATTCAAACCAAACTCAAGATAAAAAGAAAAGGGTGCCTAAACTTACAGGAAGTGGAGAATCAGTGGCCTTGAATTTTCCAAGCCGGCGTTTAAAATCAACAGGGTTAAGAGCAGCAGCAACAACCTTAATCAAGACTTGATCTTCCCTAATTTCTGGAACTGAAACATTGGACTCAAACTTCAAAACATCAGCACTTCCATAATCAGTGTAAGTCCAAGCTTTCATTTCAGAAGGAATAGAAGTGCTTGTTGATGTTTCAACAGGAGCAGCTTGAGAACTAGCAGAGACTCTAAGTGGCAAAACAGTGGAAAATTGGCTCCTTTGAATGTAATTTTCAGTTTTTCTACTACCCTTTAATCTAAGCACAGAACATGAAGAAAATGGAGAATGAAGAGAAGAGAAAGAAGAGGGAGTGTGAAGGGGTTTGAGTTGAAGAGTAGTAGAAGATAACAGAGCTTCCATTATTCTTCTTCTTTTCAACTGTTTTTCCCTGAATCTGTTTTTCCTCAAAGCTTAACTTTATCTCTGTGGTAGAGGAGATGAAATGCTTGTTGTGGGTTTCTTTTTGGGTAGATTTCAATTTTCAGCCATCCATTTGTTAGTAACTTAGTGATTTGAAATATCCTGTCCTCAATTTTTTCTCAATTTTTTTTACTCCCTTCTAATTTATGTAATTTATGTGAACCTGTTTGACTGGATACGGAGTTTAAGAAAAGAATGAAGACTTTTGAAATTTGCGGTCCTAAACAAGTTCAAATGAGGTCCAGAGTATTTGTGTGGTTATAAAAAATTCTCATTAGGGGTAGAGTTGTAAGTTTAAGCTAAATTATTACCAAATTTAGAAAAGGTTCATTCTTTTTAGAACCGACCAAAAAGGAAATAAGTTGACATAAACTGAATATAGGGAGTAATACTTTTTATGTGGGCATAAGGAAAATAATAGCCACAAACTAAAAAGAGCATTGAAGAGACAACATATGGGCTTTATGGAATTTTTCTTTGAAGTTTCAATCTGTTGGAGACTAGTGACTATGGGTAGATAAGATTTCAATTATAGGTTTTACATTTTTGTTAGCTCCTTTTATTAGTTGTATATGCCCCTTGATAAGCCAGTTTAAGGTATTCAGAAACTTCACTTAGGTTAGTGATTAATAAAGCAGGCATGAAACCTTGAAGGTGAAGCAGCAGATGGCCATTTAAAGAACCAAAGCTTAAAAAATAAAGAGTTCAAATTGCTATACGCTACCAGAATTTTTACTCTATCGGTGCAATTTAATAGTTATATGTCATGATCAACCATATCATCATGTCACGTAGGTGTCACTTAGCATATATGTTTTCATATGAAAAGCTTACATAGGAAAGAGGCTAGCACTTGTAGGAAGGTTTTAGAGAAATATAGAGATTTCCTAGGAAGACCCTAGAACCCTACGGATTTACTAAGACAGTCCTTGGAAGATTCTAACTATGTAGAGAATTCTAGAGAGGGGACTTGTAAATAATAAGGAACTTATGTAATAATTTTTATTTACTCACTAGCCCCTGGGAGATTAGTATATAACTGGAGATATCCATTTGTAACTCATGAAGCAAAACAATAAAGTTCTCTATAATAAAAAGCTTCATTTGACAAATTTCTCTTGTCTTTCTTATCTAACATTCCTTTAACGATCTTGAGTGTAATATTTTAGGCTGACTTGGCATAGCAAAAACGTGCGAGAGTTGTGCAAGATCGTGAGAAAGTTGTCAAGTGTCGCACGTACACTTAGTTCAAAACTAAGGACGTGACATATAGCATGTTATTATTCTATGTTGTAGGTTATGCCAAAAGTTACTTATTATATGTCAACTTAACGTGATAGTATAAGAAAATTAGACCGTTGGTGCACATACCATAATCTCAAAAAATAATCACTAGCGTGACAAGAGGCACTAGACTGTTACATATACTAGAAGCTCAGGCATAAAATGATACAAAATTACACAAATTGGATGTCTAATCACAAGATGAATTAGAGGTCACAAAGTTAAAGTGGATCTATTACTAAAAGGGGCTTGAGGGCTTCTCATCAAACATTTGCTTTCAGTTCATTTCTTCTTGTTTTGGAGCACATTTTGGATGTAGCCCATAATCACAACGTTTGCAGAAGAAAGACCAACCATACCCCATCTCCTTGCACCCACTGCAAAGATAAACTTGCTGATGTATTAATGCAAGTTCATGCTCATTGTGAATTTCATCTTTGCCTTTTTTGGGCCAACCTGTTGAAGTTTTATCGAGGCGTTGCTGCAAATTCTTTATGTGTTCTTCTGTGAAGGGATAGGCTCCTGCACCATGTGTCTCTAACAGCTGTCTTACTTGTGTATTCACAGTGCAGCCACTAGGACTAATTGCTATGACCACCGGAATGCCTACTATGTTGAATCTGCGCCATAGAAACGCCTTCCTGTCATCGTCGAAAGGGAGTTCTAACCATGGCATTCTTGAAAATAAGTTATTAAAGGAAGATTCATCTTGATCACTAGAGATGAAAATCACTTCAAATGTTTCATCTTTCTTCTTGATTTCTTGGTATGTAGTGATGAGTTTAGGTAGAAATTCTCTACTTGGAAGACTCCACTGAGCTGCAAAATACAGTACAATGTTGTTCCCCACTAGTTTAGACACAGGAACCTAAAACAAGAACAGAAAACAATAGCATGATTAGCAAACAAAATGAATTTACATTTTCAATACACTCATTTTAAGCTATGAGAACTTACCTTTAAACCACCATTCGAAATGACAAAATCTCGATCTGCAGTAACAAGAATAGACTCTAATGTTTGTGCTTCTAGTTTTTCCTTCTTTAGATTAGCCAAAGTAATAAGCTTTTCTTGGGTGAAAGGAAAGGCTTGATCACCATATTCTTCAACAAGTTTAACTGCATTTTGCTGCAGAGTCTTCCCATCTGGACTAATTACAACTAGCTGCGGTAGAAGTTTATGTTCAAAGTACCTAACGAGTCTCTCACAGTTCTTGTCCTTGAAAGATAAAGCCAACCATGGCATTGCTTCAAACCCTTCATTAAAATCCTCATATTTTTCATCCAGAGATAGAAGCACAATTTCAAAATTCTTTTGTTTGAGTTTTTTATATACATCTGCTAGCTTCAAGGTGAAATTCCTGCACCCTTTATGAGAAGCCATAGCAAAATATAGGCCAACTGTTTTCCCTTCAAGATCAGACACAACAATCTGAAAATAAGCATGTCGAAAATTAAGCACAAAAACCTGAAATGCATAAACATCATCCAACTTGAAGACAGTTATTACCTTGCTTTCTTCGTTTGAAATCAAAAAATCACGGGATTCATGTACCAAAATAGACCTCAAAGACTGATTCACTTTAGCCTTCTCTTCTTCTTCTCTCAAGTAATTTACTCTTTCAGATGTAAATGGATAGGCCTCAGGACCAAAATGTTTGATAAATTTGACGCCCTCGTTGCTCAAAACTTTCCCCGTCCCATCAAGAATCACAAGATGTGGAATTGCCCTTACTTTGAACGACTGCTTTAACTTCTTACGCGCCTCAGCATCAGCAAATGGAACAGCAAGCCATGGCATTTTCCCAAAGTATTCATTAAATGATTCATTATCTTTATCGGATGAAATGAACACTATTTCAAAGTCACCTTTAGGATAAAGATCCTCATAAGCTTCAACCAACTTTGGTGTAAACTGGCGACATAAACCACACCACAAACCGGAGAAATACAAGCCCACAATCTTTCCCTTTATGCTGCTAATCTTAACCTACAAACAAGTATATAAGAGTGGTGATCGAGTTGGTTCATATTCGATCTTTCATATACTCAGAAAAGACTATAGAGGAAGTATGCAAGTTAAGAACTCTAAAAAAATAAACTTATACATACCTGTTCACCATTTCCACATATTAGAAAGTCTCTTTCCTCTGATGACAGTACAACTGCGAGATCATGAGGGAAACTTTCTTGATCAATTGCCATAGCCATCAGTTCTGATTCTTATATCCTCAGAACTGTACAGTATATAACATGTTTCATTTGATATGTTCTGTTTGATTCTATCTTAAAGATAATGGATAATCTTAGCAGGGAATGTTGAGCACTTGCCGGTCAATTTCATCTGAATTTTCAAGCTGGCCGGCCGTGTCACAAATACATATTAAATTGGTTTTAAGTGCATTATTGAATAAGTTAATCCCCTCAAATGGTTTTTAATTAGCCTTTTGTCTTGCGAACATGGATAAGAAGTATTATAGCTGCCTAGACCAAACTTTGAACAACATTTTATTACATTGTGTTGCACAATATTGTAATCAAATGCACTATATGATAGTGACAAATGAAATTATATACGACTATTTAGGTGGACAGCGGAATCTTGATTCCTCAACTTCCAGGATTCCTTTATATATGCTGCTTTGTCTTTACTGAGAAAAGCTACAGCATTTGTAAAACTCCATTTAGAGAAACAAATTTGTCTTTATTTCTGTTTCTTTTTTGAGTGGTGGTTTG